GAACATTAATACTGGAGGCTATAAAGCTCAGATGTTTAAATGTTGAAATAATTTAATTTCCCATAAAATATTATTAGAGACCTTGGACAGTGCATGTTGGTGATATTGATAATATTCAGTGGGATGTAATTATTTTTCAGTACACGCATAAGGTATCTTGTTTTTGTATGGGGTTTTTTGGTCGAATGAGGAAAACAATATTCTGTCAAAACACTCTGTATGCAGCTGTTGTTGTTGAGACGCATTTCACGTTAATAGAACAGGTTCTACAGTACATTCCCCAAACGCGATTACCTCTCGGGATATGTGGACTTGATTATTTTGTTCTGTGCACCCCCTTTGATAGGCCATGGGGAATTTGGTTCAGTGCATTAAAAGACAGTTACCCGTTGAATTCTATTATTTGCTCTTAAAAGTTCGCCCCCATCACTATGAGCAAGTCGATCTTAGCATTTTTCATGTTATCTTTCTCTTTTCAATTGAACGCTGATTCGACCTGCAGGATGCTAGAAAAATTTGGATCGACTGGATTATTCAAAGACGGGAATTTACTGATCGCTGGTGTTTTTCCTGTATTTACAACAGAGGAAGACATTTACGTGTCGTTTAAAACGCAGCCACAAAAAGCGAAATGTGTTGGGTAAGTTATTTGTACCTCCTGCAATTTTCGGAACATAAAGCCTTGCATTTTGTACATAATTAACTAACAGGTGGGGTAAAAAACATTCATATACTGTGCTACACGGCTTACATAGAAATCAGTTTAATGCAAGTGTAATTTACATGTAAGTTTATGGTGTCAATGTTTTAATAGGTTTGATCTACGTGCGTTTCGATGGACACAGGCGATGATTTTTGCCATAGAAGAGATCAACAAGGACAACAGTTTGCTTCCCAACATCACTTTGGGCTATCGAGTCCTCGACACCTGCGCCTCTTCAACTCTAACTGTAAGAGCGGCTCTTGCAATACTAAACGGAGTAGAGGCTTCTAACTCTACGTGTTCCTCTTCAACCCCTGCGGTTGTAACGTCTCAATCTGTAGATATCTCTCGAGTGCTGGGACCCTTCGGCATTACTTTGGTAAAGCTTTCCAATATGTACATTTACTGTAGGTGGACATTTGCTACTGTGTTGCTGTGCTACAGATTACTACGAGATTTGCAAATTTAAATTAAAGATTGTAGTTCAGTCTAAGATCTTAAGTGTGTTAAAAGATGTGTAAATAGAGTGCATAAAACTAAAGTTGGAGGTTAATGTTTACCTTACAAAATTATTTTATAAAATTGTTTCAGAAAAACAACTGCACTGCATTCTTTGTCATCAGAAACTTGATTTCTTAATACTGCTTTTATTTTCTTAGCAGATG